ACGGCCAATGTGTCAGCAGGTGCGGCAGCGCTCGGGCCCGATCGGAGCCATCGCCCGTGCCTTCTGCTGCGGCCTCTTGGGGCGAGCCGTCGGTAGGGAATGCAACCGCCACATCTCCTGACTCCTCTGTCATGATTGCAGCGGGCGGCGGCGGCTCCTCGCCGTTCGCTCGGGCGTCAGAGAGGACTTGTTGATCAGTGCCTCCTTGCCCGCCAAAGGGTGCGGATGAGAAAACGGCCGAGCCGCACCAGGATCGCAAGCCCTCGAACTGCGCCTCGACGGATTCCCAGACTCCGTGGAGGCCGAGCGGTTCCGCGCACAGGATTGTGGGAAGGAGCACATGAGCGTCCGCGTCCAAGGGGGCGCTAAGCTGCTCAGCGCGGGCCTTCAGCCTGGCCCCCGTGTTTGCGTATACCCTTCAGCTGCTTGATCGGTGCCGTCGCCACCCGCACTCCGTGGGCATCACCGTGTAACGCCACATTCCGCCGCAGCGCTTGCGCCGCCGATGCAGGTCGCCCCGCAAGCCTCTCCCCCAAGGCGGGCGTCAGCGTGACAATCCTCGCAGCCGAACGTGGTGGCGAGGCTGTTCAGGACTGCGCCGAAACCCGCCTGCACGCGCCCGCGCTCGCCAGAGAGTTTGATGATGGCTCCTCGGTCTGCAGACTGCCCAGCCCGCAGCTTCCCTACCTTACGGTCGGCTGCACTGCGTCGTGCTGGTTGTGCAACTCCACACCGTCCCGTATCCATGACCGCGAGCTTCGCGAACAAGCCGTGTTGCTCCGGACGAGGGGGCCGACAAGCCGACTTGGTTTGAGCAATAGGGCTGTCGCTCGCTGTTGAGCTGCTTGAGCCAAAATGGCTACGGATTTCTCCCCCTCCTCCTCCTCCTCCTCCTCCTCTTCCTCCTCCTCCTCCTCCTCCTCCTCCTCCTCGCCCCCCTCGTCCTCCTCCTCCCTCTCCTCCTGCTGCCCCTCCTCCTCCGCCTTCTCCTCCCTCTCCTCCTCCCCCTTCCCTTCTCTTCCTCGTTTCGCTCGTCGTCGTCTTCGGGCCGTTCTCGTCGCCTTTCAAAGAAGGAACACTGGTCTGGGCGTTGAATTTGTTTGCACACCGGGAGTTTTCGCAAGGTTTCGGGCCCCAGGACCACCACAGATCCATCCGGCTTGAAACATGCAGCAGAACTATTGGGCCGATGGCTCTAATAGAGTGGTGGGTCTGGCGCAGAAGTGTCGGTGGCGAGAGATGCAGAACGCAGCCATTGCGCGGGGGGGGGCGAACTTTGCACGGGCGACAAGGGTTGCACAAACGAGTCCACACGAGTGCATCCATGCGCAACTATTGCAGCCAGCGCGTAAACTATTGCATCCAGGCCCCGACTAGTGTAGGGCGTCGGGCTGGGGCGGGGCGTCAGGTAGGGCGTCGGGGAGGGCGCCGCGCGGGGGTAGGGTGTCGTGCTGGGGCAGGGCGTGGGGTACTGCAAATACACTTGCAATTCTCCCAGGGGACCCATCTGCACCACACCCACTACTATGGCTTAAAGTTCCTCTGATTCTTTTTGTTTCGCGTTTTTTTTTTTTTTTTTTTTTTTTTTTTTTTTTTTTTTTTTTTTTTTTTTTTTTTTTTTTTTTTTTTCCCCCCCCCCCGCAACGTCGGATTCCAGGGAAGGTGCCGGTACCCCTAGGTTTCCCTCGTCGCCAGGGCTGGATTCGCCTGGAAATCCAGGTCAGAACGCACCCCAGGAGGGCCGTGGAGAAGCGGTATTGGTATCTGTTTCCTTCCTCAGTCTTGGTGGTGGTTGTGGTCGTGGTGGCGGTGGTCGTGGTGGTGGTGGTCGTCGTCGCTTTCCTCCTGCTTCTCCTTCGCGTCGTCCGACGGCCGCGCTCTCTCCAGCAGTTTTGCGCAGCCGTCGCTTGTCGTGGAGTCTCACGACTTCAGCGCTCCGCATTCCCGTATGCTGCAGAGCCGCACGCGGCTGCGCAGCAAGAGTTGTTTGTCTGCTGCCGTCGCAGCGCGGCTCCGCACTCATGAGCAGCAGGCAGGCGAAGCTCGTTCTCGCAGTGGAAGGGGCAACGTCAGGGGGACAGTGTAGACTCAGGGGGGGATGCAACACCTCCCAGTCGCCCATTCATCGCCGATGGGGGTCCGATAGCCCACCCCGCCCATGAACGTGCGGATTCGCCGGCGGAGGCCCATCGCCGATCCCAGCTCGATATCCCCCCCCCCTGAGCCAGTGCCCCCCCCCCTTGCGTTTCCTCTCGCAAGAGTCTGTAGGTTTTCGGATGGTTTTGCTAGCTTGTTGGATGCTCTGGCTTTCAAGTGCGCTCGTGACGTACCTCGCCAGTCTTACCCCGATGCCTCTTCACCTAGCCTTCGGCGTGTGTCGTCATCTACGTTTGAGGCCAGCTGTGGAAGCAGGCTGTCCGCTCCCAGATCCCGATTTCGAGTGGACTTTTTTGCGGCCCTGGGGCCCAGCGACTTCAGCTCCACTGGGGCCTCGGTGCGACGGTGCAGATGCCCCTGTATGCCCTCTCTGCCGGCCACGGGCTTGCTCTGGCGCCAATTCGTCGTTGTCGGCGGCGTCGTCGTCGTCGTTTTCCTCCTCCTTCTCCTCCTCCTCGCCAGATCTACAGGTGTCATGCGGAGGGTCAAGGGAGGACTCCACCCCGACCTGGGCTTTTGCTAGGCAGCTTCGGGCGTCTCCTGAACAGCCCTGCCCTATTCGATTCCTTCCTCAGGCGCGTTTGCTAAGGGGCGTCGCTGGTCGGGGTGTTTCTCATGAGGTGGTTCTTCTGCCCTCTGGAGGTTGGAGGGTAGGATATTGATAGACCTCCCTTATCCTAAAGGGGGGTTATGTCCACCCGAGGCTATAGGCGTCACGGGCGAGGGGGGGGGGGGAATACGACGGGCGCTTTTTCAAACAGTTGCCCCTGGAGGGCGCCCTATCAGAACTCCGTCTGCGACGGCGGGCCGCTCCTGGGGACGCATGGGGTCGAGAGCCTGTGAACCCAAGTTCGTCGGCAAAGTACGACGTCGGAGGTTTCGGCCTACGGCTACTCACGCTTCGACTGGCTCGGTGGTGTCTGTGGGTGTCTGCGCGTGGCACAGATCGATTCGGTTACGCTCCACGGACGTGGTTCGATTCGGCCGCTCCGATGCAAACGACGCGATCGATTCGCTTAAAAGGGATATGTACATGCAGGGCAGCATAACAGTTGAATCGTCAAGCTGGTTTTGAGTCCACTGTGCATGGTATGTGTTTGCCTGTGGCAGGTCGTCCTGTGCAGCGTTCCCCCTTGCCTGGCAAACTTCTGATCTGCTGTTTGATTCGCGAGAATTACAGAACACGCACGGCGCGATCGATTTTACCCGACCGTGCGGCAAGATCGTGTTGGTTTGACGCGGCGGCGACGCCAGCGCGGCGGCGACGCCAGCGCGGGCGGTGATGTCGAATAATAATCTCCGATGCCAGAGAGTTGCAATCCTTTTCCTCCGTCTGGCATTTGCTTGCGTTACATATTCGCCCTCCTTTTCCCCCCTCGCCGCCTCCTCAAGCAGCACTCGGCCGAAGCGGTGAGCACGTGTGGTTCGACTTGCGTGGCGCTCTTTCTCCCCTCCCGACGGGCTGATGTTGTCCGAGGATCGGTCTGCGCGGTGTAAGAAACAGGCGCGCAGGTAGCGACGACGCGAGCTTGCCGCAGTCCCAGCTGGCAGGGCAGCAGATCATCGGCTCACCAGCGTGAGGCGTGCGACGAGGAGGATGCCCAGAGGGGGATGCGTCGGCCCCCAGTCGCCCACTCATCGCCGAGATGGGGCCCGATAGCCCACACCGCTCAGGACTGCGGTTTCGCGATCGGAATCGGCGACGTATCGCCGATTCCAGGTCGATCTCCCCCCGAGGCAACTCCCTAGTTGTGCTCGGGTCATAACTCGGGCCTCCGGCGGCCCTTCTAGACGATCGGGGCACCCGTGGGACGCTCTCGGCGAGTCGCAGCCAGCTGGAAGGCATCCTGAGGCTTGAGAGCCGCCGAGAACCAATGAAACCGTTTGATCGGCAACACCCAAACATACTTATACTACATGTGCGTCGCCCCCCCAGGGGCGACGCGCGCACCGAGCAATCTTATAGTATATGCGTCGCGGCGTGCGCTTCCTGGCCACACCGCTCGGGAAACGATATACTACAAGATGGGTATACTATATGTTTGGGTCGGACGCGCGCCTCCAAGGAGAACATCTAGTACTAGTATGTCTTTGTGCACCCCATTTGACACTCAAACCTCGAACTTTGAAACTTCGCGCTCCTCCCCTTACGCTGACCCTCTAACGGTGCCCCTGGGAGCGGGCCAAGCGACACCGAGTCGGCTTCGCCCCAGCATACTTCTATTACGTGCGCGTGGCCCCGAAGGGGTGACACGCGCGCTCCCAGAACTCTTAGAGTATACACCCTAGGCGATGCTCAAGAAAACCTAAGTTTTCGGCCAGAGTCTCGATTATTCTTACCATTTCAGTGTAAATCTTAGGATTTTGATAGAAATGTTGGGTTTTTATTCGAGTTCTGAGACTATGAATTTCTTAACCCATGATTTCTTAAGCATTTCGCAGGGTGTATGCTCGGTGGCGGGCGCTCTCTGGCCACATTGCTGGGGTAAGGACCTGCTGCAAGATGGCTCTGCCGTGTGAGCTTACCGGACGCATGCCTTCTGGGGCCCGGGTCCGCGGACGGAAGGAGGGGCAGGCGATGCAGGAGGCCGAGGTGAAGAGGGGACGAAAAGGAAGCACGAGATGGAGGACGAGGGGGCTGAGGCGAGGAACGCGCGCAGGCGCGTGCTCGGCAGCAGCAGCAGGAGGAGGAGGCGGAGGAGGCGGAGGAGGAGGAGGAGGAGGCGGAGGAGAGCTCTGATATCCGTCGACGGGATTCTTGCCATCCGCGGCCCCAGGAGGATCCATCGTTCGAGGCCGTCCTGCGTCCCGTCGAGAGACTCAGCGCCCCCGCGCAGCGCCAGGTCGACGCCGAGCGCCGCTGCAGGGCCTGCGCCGCCACCTTGGCGTGCGCCTCCTGCGGGCGAGCGCAGCCCGCCGCGGGGCCCCCGCCCCAGGGCGCCCGGCGGTCGCGCGGCAGAGATGGAGGGAGGGAGGAGGGAGAAGACGAGGGAGGAGACGAGGGAGGAGGGAGCAGGGAGGAGGGAGGAGGGAGGAAGGAGAGGCATTCTAGGGATTCTGCCATCGCGTAGCGATGCATGACAAGACGCCTCACCTGACCACCTGACCTCCATGTGCTGCGAGATGAAGGCCGACACGACGCAGAAGCCAGAGCTGGACGGAACACACGGATACTGGCCTGAGTACCTCCACGGATGACCATGCTCATTCACTCCACTGGATTCGCTGGAGGCCTGAGCATGTTCTGTGGTCGCTTGGAGTGGGGGGGGGTTTGGGAACCGGACCCCCCCCCCCTGGATTGGGGGGGGGGGGTCCGAACCCCTCCGCCCCTCCCGTGACGGAGGGGGAGGGGGTTCGAACCCCCCCGCCCCCCCCCTCCCCTCCGTGCTTCCCCTCTCCTCGGGCCGGCGCTTGCGTCGGCGGCGGCTGGCGATGGCGGCGGGGACGACGATTTCCATTTCTGGGCCGGCGCCGGCGCCTGCGGCGGCCGGCGGCGGTGGCGGGGAGCGTCGACGAGGACGATGGTGGTGGTGGTGGTGGTGGTGGTGGTGGTGGATTGTGGTGTGGTGGGTGGTGGTGGTGGTGGTGGTGGTGGTGGTGGTGTGGTGGTTTGTTGTGGTGGTGGTGGTTGTGGCGGTGGGCGGTGGTGGTGGTGGTTTGGTGGTGGTGTGGTGGTGGTTTGTGGTGGTGGTGGTGGTGATGGGTTGTGGTGGTGGTGGTGGTGGTTTGGTGGCGGTGTGGTGGTGGTTTGTGGTGGTGGTGGTGGTGGTGGTGGTGGTGGGTTGTGGATGTGGCGGTGGTTTGTGGAGGCGGTGCTGGTGGTGGCGGTGGCGGTGGTGGTGGTGGTGTGGTGGTTTATGGTGGTGGTGGTTGGTTGTGCTGCTGGTAGTGGTGGTGGTTGTGGCGGTGGTGGTGGTGGTGTGGTAGATTGTGGTGGTGGTGGTGGTGGTAGTGATGGTGGTTTCTTGTGGTGGTGGTGGTGATGGTGAGTTGTGGTGGTGGTCGTTGTGGTGGTGTGTTGGTGGTTAGTGGTGATGGTGGTGGTGGGTTGTGGTGGTGGCGGTTGTTTGTGGATGTTTGTTGTGACGGTAGTGGTGGCGGTGGTGGTGGTGGTGGATGTGTGGTGGTTTGTGGTGGTGGCGGTGGGTTGTGCTGCTGGTAGTGGTGGTGGTGGTGGTGGTGGGTGGGTGGTGGTGGTTGTGGTGGTGGGTTTTTGGTGGTGGTGGTGATGGTGAGTTGTGGTGGTGGTTGTGGTGGTGGTGGTTGTGGTGGTGGTGGTGGTTGTGTGGTGCTGTTGGTGGTGGTGGTGGTGGTGGGTTGAGGCGGTGGTGGTGGTGGTGGTAGTGGTGAGAAGCGTCGCTGCGTCCCCGCCGTAGCTGGCGCCAGCGCCGGCGCTGCTGGCCGCCGCCAGCGCCGTCGCCGGCGCGAGGAGGGGGGGGGTGGGGGGGTTGAACCCCCCCCAGGCTGCCTCTGGCCATCGTCGCTGCGTTCCCGCCGTGGGCGCTACTGGCGGCCGCCAGCGCCGGCGCTGGCGCCGAGGGGGGTGGGTTCGGGAGGGGGGGGGGTTTGGGGGGGAGGGGGGCCCCCCCGGTTTTGATCGACGGCGCCGAGTGTTGGGCCCCCCCCCCCCCCCCTTTCGAAACGCGCCGCCGAATGTTTCCAAGGCGAGCGCCCGTGAAACGCGTTCTCTTGGAGCTAAGGTTCTCCGCCTCCCAGCTGCGCCGCGGAGAGCTCCGCCGGTGTGCAGGCTGCATCGTGGCGGCGAGCGGCGGCGGCGCCACGTCGGCGCAGGCGCGGGGGAGGAGGAGGGTCGGGTGCTGTCGTGCCCAGGCCCCCTCGCGCTGTGAACGAAGCACAAAACACGACGGGAGTCTTCTTTTTCATTTTTGCCATTTTCGGCCGTTGGGGGCCCTTCCCTGGCTTCCAGACCGTTAGTGAACGACCTCCTCCTTTTTTTTAAAAAAAAAATGAGTGACCTCTGGGGGTTTCATTTTCGGACGGAATTCATGAGGTCGAGGGCCTGGGAATGTGGCCCTGGCCCAGGCCCCAGGGTGTCCCAGGCCTTTCGCTCCCTCTCGGAGCCCTCCGGGCCTCGCGAGGCGGGCTCTGGAGGCCGCGGGGCCCTGCTTGGAAGTCTTCGGGGCACCCCGGGGCAGCACGAGGGGCAGGAGGGACGAGACGGTCCGGGCTGCTGGGAGGGAGGGTCGGCCCCCGGGGCGACAGGTCCACCCCTGATCGCCCCCTCCTCGCCGATCGGGGCCCGGGTGCTCCGACCTGCCCATGAGCGTTGGGTGCCCCGTCGGAGGTCCCGTCGCCGATCTCTCGGCGGTGTATCGCCGGGCCCTGGTTTTCTTTCTCCTCGGGCAGCTCCCCCCCCCTTTCGGCTCCCCTCGGGAGGAGCAGGAGGGGGATGACCCAGACTTCGAGCGACGCGAGCAGATCGAGTCTGAGTTCTGCTCTTCGTATTCGCCCCCTCGAGGCCGTCTTCGGACCCCTCGGGCCGAAGGCCCCAATTGGGAGGGATCGAGAGCGGGCGACAGCACCTCTCGGAGCACCTTCAGAGTGGTGTGCGGTGACTGTCAGCTCTGACCAATAGCAGAAAGTTTGGAGGTCAATTTTTATGTTTTGATTTTCTTTCTGATATTCGTAGATCGGCGGTTGGAGAGGGCCGGCTTTGCCCCCCCCCCCCCCCCCAGATTTGGCGCGATCTCCACATTGTGTTCAACTTGTAACGCGCTTTCTGATCCAAAGCCATCGGGCCGTGCGCGTGCCGGCAGTCACTGACTGCCGGCACGCGCAGGGTCCGTACGGCACAGGCGAAGTGTCTCCTCGCGCAGTCCCGCAGTGCTTCTTCCGCCGTGGCCCGGGGAGGCGGAGGAGGGCAGGGGGCTCGTTCCGCAGTGGCCCAAGGAGGAGGAGGAGGAGGCGGAGGAGGGCATGGGGAGGGGGAGACAGTGGGCACATGCTATTGCAACTCTTGCTGGAAGAACTCCCAGGGCACACCCTTCGTCGATCTCTGAGGGTCCTGGGGTGCCCTCGAGCTCTTGCGGGTCCCTGGGGCCATCGGGTGATGCGACATTTCCATCACAGGCCGATTTCCCGTGTGCGCCCGCCGAAAGCGAGAAGGGGCGAGCATCCAGCGTGGACCCAGCGGTCGACACACGGCGGCGCGTGCCCCCACCAAGTCCTGGAGGGGAGAGAGCGCATTCTCAGGCCCTCCCAGGCCTAGCCTTGGCGGCGGGTTCGAGAAAGGTGAGCGGCCCAAAGGGGCTTCAGCACCAGACCAAGCGCTGACCCAGACGCGCCGGTCTCCTCGAGCGCGGGCTTGAAAGGACTTGCGGGTCGTGGGGTGGTGCCTGGACTCCTACGGCCTCCGAAGCCTGCCTTCAAGCACTCTGGGGTCCCCTCTGGGCGGGCACGTAGCTACAGGCACGCTGGACACGTGGTGCGGCCAGTCTGGGTGGGAGCTGGGTGTACATGTGGTCGGATGTCTTTCCATCCAGCCTTCTATGGCTGGGCGCGCTGGGCTTCCGCATGCCGCATGTGTATCCAGCACATGGCCTCCAGATGCTCCGTATGTTAGTCCAGCCACGTGTGTATCCAGCTTCCTAGTAAAACCACAGCCCACTGGTAGCATGAGTATCGGCACTTTCTGCAGAGCCCTACAGCTGGACGGGTGATAAGCTGGCGGCCCATCAGCCTGGAGCGCTTGACACCCTCAGCCCAGGCCCCCGCCAGCCCATCGAGGGAGGAAGCGTCTAGCGGAGTCAAAGGGTGGGGTCCTCGGCCCCCTAGTCTCCACCTCTTGGCCGGGGTGTTGGGGATGGGGCGGGGGAGGTCGAATACAGTGGATTAGAGCACTTGGAGGTATCGATGAGCACCCTACCTAGAATTAACCCAGTGCGACCCTACCTAGAAGTTGGAACCCCTAGTAAAGCAGCATTAGTTGCTATGCTATGCTATGCTATGCTATGCTATGCCATGCTATGCCGCGCTATGCTATGCTATGCTATGCTATGCTATGCTATGCTATGCTATGCTATGCTATGCTAAACTATGCTATGACATGCTGCGCTGTGCTATGCTGCGCTATGCTATGCAATGCTATGCTGTGGTATGCTATGCTATGCTATGCTATGCAATGTTATGCTATGCTGCGTTATGCTATGCTATGCTATGCTATGCTATGCTTGGCTATGTTGTGCTATGCTATGCTATGCAATGCTAATGCAGCGCTGCGCTATGCTAAGCTAAGCTAAGCTAAGCTAACCCTCTAGGCAGAGCCTAGGCTAGCTCGGCATCTGTCGCACATTGCCTTTGCTCTGCCTTTCCTTTGCTTTGCTTTTGCTTTTGCTTTGCTTTGCTTTGCGTTGCTTGTGCTTTGCTTTGCTGTCGCTGCTGTTGCTTTGCCTTTGCTTTGCTGCTATGCTATGCTCTGCTCTGATATGCTATGCTATGCTATGCTGCGCTGTGCTATGCTGTGCTGTGCTGTGCTGCGCTATGCTATGCTATGCTATGCTGCGCTATACTATGCTATGCTGGGCTATGCTATGATATGCTGTGCTGCGCTATGCTATGCTACGCTATGCTATGCTGTGCTCTGCTATGCTAAAGCTCAGCGAAGCTAAGATGAAGGTAAGCTAAGCTAATATACACCTGAGCTAAGATGAAACTAAGCTAAGCTAATATTAAATAAGTTAAGCTAAGATGATATAAGCAACGCTAAGCTGAAGGGACGTCACTGGGGGAACCGCGGGGCGGATGCCGGGGGAACCGCCCAGGGCGAGGAACACAGCCCGGCCCTTTAAGCCTATAAAGTACCCTTCTAGGCAGAGCCTAGGTAGGGACTTTTTGAAATTGCCATGCATTCGATCATATCCTGGAGTAGCTGGGTTTCCGAATGCGATCATCCCGACTTTTTGCTGGCATTGCATGCCACAGCCCCGCCTCAGCACATCTCTCTGGCAGGCCGGCCATCATCACCCCCACGAGCGGTCCCGTTCCCGTGTCGCGATGCTGGGCCCCGTGGCGTGAGCCTTGGCCTGCAAGGTGCCGTTCGGCGCAGAGCCTCCATCTTCACCGATCAGCTGCCAGCACCGCGCCTAGACCTCTCGGTCCTGAGCGCTGCGACGTGCCGAGGCGGCGGGGCCGCGTGCGCCGAGCCGTCGGGCAGCGCCCGACAGACGGGTAAGATGCGCAACGGCGGAACGGCCGCCCCTCCTCCTCCTCCTCCTCTTCCTCCCTACCGGCTCCTCCCTCCTCCTCCTCCTCCGCCTCCTCCTTCTCCTCCTCCTCCCTCCCTCCTCCTCCTCCCTCCCTCCTCCTCCGCCTCCTCCAAAACTCCTCCTCCTTCTACTCCTCCTCCTCCTCCTCCTAGAGGTGGCCGACAACTCGGACTCGATGATGCTCGGGTCCACTGTGACCCTCGTACAGGGCCATACGCTGCACAGCGGGGTTCGCCCGCGTCGTCAATCTGCACGCGGCCCCACCCTCTCCGACGCAGATGCTTAGGGTGGCCGCGTGCAGGGGGTTGCCGTCCGAGAAGGCATCCGCCGCGAGGGAACTCAACCACTCGCCCTCAAAGCAAATCTGATCCCAGGGGAGGAGCGAGAATCTGGATCAGGAGGAAGGGATGAGGGGGAGGGGATCGAGATTCGAAGATCGAGCTGTCGTGCAGTCTTGACACTTTTCGGGCCTTTTCGCAGGCATCCGGGGACCTCCGGGGACCTCAGGAGCCCCGGACATCCGGGCGTCGTGAACAAAAAAGCACAACGGGCGTTTCTGATCTGTTCCTTGCCCCAGGACCTTCACGGCGTTTCGATGCTTTCTTTGCGTGGGGCTAGATCCAGGCGAGATCCACGTTTTTTTGTTAATGTATGTGTTCGGATATGTGACAATTCAGAGGGGTACCCTAGCAGGTATTCCCAGGGCCAGGCTGAAGACAGAGAATGAGTTCTTGCACCGTCGCCATATTTTGGCTCAAGAAAAATATCCCCTCCCATCCATCATCAGAGTTTGGGGGAGGAGGATTGCTTTGCATGGTAGCGCGGAGCATGTTCTGATCCACGGCATTTCTGCTGAGTGACTCCAGGGAGTCACGGGTCAGCTTCCGCCATAGAGCAGCAGGTGCAGCTGCAAGCGCAGCAGATTGCAGAGCTGAGAGATTTACTGCAGAGGCAGTCGCAGGAGCTCCAGAGGATGGCCGCGGCCCAGCCAGCAGCACCAGCGCAAGCAGCAGCACCAGTGCCCCCAGCAGTGCCACGACGCATGGAAGGTATCTTGGACAGCAAGATAGTGGGCAAGGTCAAGCAGTTTGACGGCCAACGCTCTTCATGGAAGACCTTTGAGTTTCACTGGAAGGCCTACTTGGTGGCCAACGATTTTCGTTTCAGAAGGATGTTCCAGGCCATCGAAGATGAACCTGATGTGGCAATGCTGGTGAATGACGTAGGCAGTGTGAATAATCCAGATTTCGAGCCTCTCTCCAGCCAGCTGTACTTTATGTTGGTGCTGGCGATGCCAGAGGACAGCACGGGCGAGAGCATCCTCTCCAATACACCAGAGGGAGAGGGCGCCCTGGCTTGGAAGAAGCTCTTGAACGAGTACTCTCCCAACGAGCCTGGCAACATCGTAGGACAGTTCAGGAAGATTCTAGGTACGGTGTTCCCCAAGGATGCGGACATTGTCACGGAGATCATGAAGCTGGACAAGGAGATCGCCCGCTACGAGAAAGCGAGTGGCGAGACGGTGTCGGCGAACGTCTCGCGTGGCATCCTCCTGGGGGCTTTCTC